CATAATTTCTTTTTATTTTATATATGTTTAATTAGACCAGTTTAGGTGATTTAAAAAAATTTAATGTTTATACCAATTTTTAGTTTTCACATACCCAGAAGGTTTCACACGAACCAGATTGCTTTAATTTTATTATACCAGTTTAAGCGACTTATACCAGTTCTTTATGTGTTAATAAAATCTATAAATTTTAATTAAATTTTATTCGCAATTTAGTTTTTAGAGTAATTAAAAGAATGAATWGCTATTAGTTAGGTTAGTACTTCCAAAATTCTTCTCAACAATGTTTAAAAACAAATAAATTTGTAGTAAATTCCTTGGAAATACAGTAACATCAGTCCTCATTAGCCATTACAGTACATACCAATTATAGAGATTGTGTAAAATATAGGTTTAACGTATGGACTTTAAAGATACCAATTGTGATCACKTATCTGAGCCATTCGCTTTTTAGGCATAGAGATGGTTTCCTACATATTTRTTRTGTTGAGCAGGTTGACCGATCTTTRGGCAATATTCCAGGAAATTGGMGGGAGTTGCTGGAATTATAGTTCAAAATAAAAAAATTTCAAGAAAGCAAGTGGAGGCTTTATTTTTAGAAATTTGATAAAACTTTTCTTGCAATTATTGGATTAAGGCTTGTCTCTTGTATAATATTTTCAACCAACTTATGCAGAGTTTGAACTTTTTTTTTGGCTACCTGCACAATCCCACAATTTTCGAACTAATATTATGTCGGTGCGCATTTTTTGTTTGCAAAATGAGTATCATATGTTTTCATACTTTGCTATATTACCCTCTACGMGCACACATACATAAATACGCATACATATTAATATATGTTTTAATCATAAAATTMTTGTTGGTATCGCTGAACACACATGGCGAACGGCGGCGGCTTGAAATGAGCCTGAATGCACCATAAGCTTGAGAAATAAGTGCGCGTATATATATGTAAAAATACACACACATACATATGTATGYCATATCAATACATTTTTTTATTGTTTCTATTTTTTCACCCTTTGCACGCAAACGACTTGAAACG